TTTTTTTTTTTTTTTTAAATAAATCCTTTTTTTCTCTCTTTCAGTTCCAATTGTCTGTGTAGTTGTGGACTTTCCGGTTGCGATGGCTGGAGGGAGGAGTATGGTGAAGAATGTTGGAAAAGGAGAATCACTGTAACATTTCCTTTGACCATTTATAAATGGTTTAATTTATAAATAATTAAAAATGAAATTTGGATAAGTTAATAGTATGTGGATGTAATTTTGCTTTTTCAAAAAGTAAATTTTGTTAACCTTTGTCTGGTTAGAAGAAAATCAATTTTTTATTGAATTTGAGCATGTGATGTAATTAACAAATAATTTCAATCCAATTCTTAGATGAGTCAAACATACGCATAATGTAAAACTTTTAACAAATTTGTCAAGTAGTAAAAAACTTTTGGAAATAGCAAAACGTGATTTTAGGTTTGTTTGACAAAATTTTTGAAAAATTAAAATTTGTTTAGTCCCCGTTTGTTTTTCATTGTTTGTCCATTAATAAAAAATATGATCGTTATCTATCACATCAAGTCATCACATTTGACGTTTTATCTCTTGTGTGAGACCTGTAAATGCTATATTTTTTATTATCATTCTTACATTAATGTGTACTAAACGGGACATTAATTTTGTAGCATACTTAAATAATTATGTGAAAGTATTTTGTAGGCTAAAATTTTTTTTTAGAGAAAATTGATCAAAAATAACTTCTTTAGTAAACTATTTACAAAAAGTAGAAGTAAAATTAAAATTATGCCAAATGAATCCTAACACTTTTTAAAGATGAACTTTTACATAACTTATAATTGCAATGTATAATGTTTTTAAGTAAATTAGGTATGCTAAACCTCTATTTATCTTCCATTAAATTAAAATTCTTTGTTTCTTAAACTCATATAATAAAATATTTTGTATTTACATTTAAAAAAACTCATACTTTTTAACTACATGATTTTCTAAAAATCACAATTTCGAAACTCATTTTTCTCAAAAGAATTAATTTTAATGGATGACAAACAGGGACACTATGCATATAAAAATTGTTGACTGATTTAAGATATTGTGCAGTTTTTATGAAATAAAACTAATACAATAAATTTTTGAATGTGTTTAAAGTTAATTCTTTAAGTTTTTATTGTTTATAAGGATCATATTCTTAAATTATCTAAGAGATGATGTTATTTTATCAATATATATAGTGAAAGCTAATTTGAAGAGAGAACTCAAATGCAATATAGGGCTGTTTGTGTTCCTTTAATTTAAAAAAAGTGCATTATGAAATAGTGATTGATATTAAAATGTGTAGTTAAAAAATAAGAAATTTTTTTTATTTATGTGTAATATTATTTTAATGAAAAATGTGTGATTGAAAATGAGTACTGTAAAAAAATAATGTGGTAGAATGATTGACAATCAAAGGCATAATCTTAGTCCATCTTTTACATATGTTAAATTATTTATAAATACATAATCAATGTGTTTGGGGAATTAAAATTAAATTTTAACAGATTTTGATAAAAAAAAAAATATGAAATATAGGGATAAAATTTTTTTGAGTCCCATCAAATATGTACTTCAAATTAATTTTTTACTTTAATTTAAATTAAAATTTAGATTTTAATTTCTAAAAAAGGGGCTTAATTCACTTTTTAATTAAGGGATTACTGTATTAGTTTAACTGTCAGAAGTTTTATGACTATTATGATTAAAAATAAAAATACTTCAAAAACCATTTTGAAATTTTTAACAAAACAACTTTTGGGCCAAAGCTCTGTCAATTTGAGTCCTTCGAGAAAGTAAAGAATGGTGGGAGGCAGAATAGTTATCGTCTCCGCTCTACAGTTCGCTTGCTCCGATGATGTCTCCAAAAACGTCGATGCTGCCGAAAGGTACGCTTTCACTTTAAGCAAATCAAATCTCTTAGAGTTTTTTCATTTCGAGATTTAATTCTTAGTTCATGAAAACCGTGTTTTAATCGCATTTTGACCTAGGATAGGCATGGCAAAATAATTAATCAGTTATCGTACTACTGATTCGTAAGCAGAAATTTCTGTCCTTATTGAGTATTCGTTGTTGAGTTAAGCTGTGTTAGCTTCTCGTACTAAGTGTCAAAGATCCTTGTATTTACTGTCAAACAATGAGATATATATTTACCTTCCTTAAGATATCTCATTTGTATAGAAAATTGCACACAATCAGGCTACATGCAGGAAACTGCACATAATCAGGATGATTACCTTAGACATAGGAAATAGCAAATAATCAGGCTACATATTTTTCTTTCCATAGAATCTGGCCATTATGCTTGTATAAATACGGTGGCTGTACATTACAAAAGAAATGAATAAAATCAAATTTTCTATCTCTTTACATGGTATCAGAGCTTTGTGATTCTTTGCTTGTGCCATCTCCTTATCTAACAATTCCAGCAACCCTCTGGTCAATAATTCTCATGAAGTTTCTTCGACCCTCCCTACCATAGCTCAACTCATTAGCGATGTATCTTCTCCATATTTCCTACACTCCTCAGATCACCCAGGTTCCCTCCTTGTCTCCACCTTATTGACTGTTGAAAATTATCACACTTGGTGTCGCTCCATGAAGAAAGCCCTCAATGGCAAAAATAAACTTGGCTTTGTGGACGGTTCACTCACCAAGCCGACCAGCTCCCCTGCCGAATCACAACTCTGGGGTAGGTGTAATGACATGGTGTTCTCCTGGATTCTCAACAGCATTGACAAATCTCTCCACAGCAGTTTGGTTTATTATGACAGCCCCCGTGATATTTGGACAGACCTTGAAGGTCGTTTTTCTCGGAGTAACAATCCTCATCTCTTCCGTCTCCGACGAGATCTCTCCACTCTCCAACAAGGTGGCTCCACCATTACTGAATACTATCACCGCATCAAGTCTCTTTGGGATGAACTCGAAGCCTTGTCTCCTCCCCCATCATGTTCATGTGGTGCACTCAAGGACCTTCAAGCCTCACAATCCGCTGAACGTGTTTTCCAGTTTCTAACCGGTTTACATGACTCCTTTGTTGCCCTGCGGACTCAAGTCTTGGCAATGGACCCACTCCCCTCACTAGCGAAGGTTTACTCCATCTTTCACCAAGAAGAAACACAGCGTCGCCTTCACATCTCTGGACCATATCTGGAAAGTGTGGCTCTTGCTATACGTCCCTCTTCTTCACAGCAGCGTAACCCTTCCGGTCGTGGGCACGGTCGTCCCAAAATGCACTCATTGTGGTGAAGATGGCCATTGGAAGACAACCTGTTTCCGTATCATCAGTTATCCCACCGGTTGACGTTGCTTTCATCAAACCCATGCTAGCCAATCCGCTCACTCCAACGCTACTCTACCCTCCAATGATGTTTTGGCTCTTGGTCTCAATCCCGAACAGGAATAGCAACTTCAGTCAACAGTATCATCTACTGCAAATTTTGTTGGTAATTCCACTGCTCTCTCTACTCACCTGAATTCCATTACTCGACCTTGGATCATTGACACAGGTGCCTCTGACCATATGTGTTCTTCACTCGATGCCTTCACCACAATTCATCCTATTACTCATCCACGCTCAGTCACTCTCCCCAATGGTGACTTAGTAGCTGTCACTCGTGTTGGTTCAGTTTCTTTATCTTCACATATCACTCTTCATCATGTTCTCTATGTTCCGAATTTTCATTACAATCTTTTATGTGTTTCACAACTCACTCAATCGTTACAATGCCTTGCCCTTTTTTCCCTTCCTTTTGTGTTTTTCAGGACATCCAGACGAAGAAGCCGATTGGAGCGGGTAAAGTCAGTCATGGTCTTTATTTCTTTACTCCACCATCCAGTTTAGCCTTTGTGTCCACTTCACCTGCCCACTTATGGCACCAACGTCTAGGCCATCCGTCTCTTCATACTCCAAATAAGTCCTTAAATATTTTTCATTCCGTACAATCTTGTGATGTTTGTACTCCAGGCAAGTTGTCACGTTCCAAGTTTCATTCTCCTATCAATAAAAGTACATTTGCTTTTAATCGCATATTTTGTGATATATGGGGAGGTTATCCCACTGCTATTTTATCTGGTGCACATTATTTCTTAACAATCATCGATGACCATTCTCGCTACACTTGGACATATTTGATGAAATTAAAATTAGATACCTTCGCATGTTTCCGCCATTTCTTTGCTTATGTCCAAACTCAATTTAATTGTACGATCAAACATGTACGCACTGATAACGGCCAAGAGTTTTTGCCCTATAATCTCCAAACATTTTTCAACAATAATGGCATTCTCCATGAACGTACTTGTGTCGAAACGCCTCAACAAAATGGTGTTGTCGAACGCAAGCATCGTCATTTACTCAACGTTGCCCGCTGCCTTCGCTTCCAAGCCCACTTTTCCCTTAAATTTTGGGGCAACTGTGTCCTCACCGCCACCTACTTGATCAATAGAACGTCTTCCGCTACCTTAATGCACAAAACACCCTATGAACTACTCCATCACATGACACCTACCTATGATCATTTACGTGTCCTAGGTTGTCTATGTTATGCATCTACCCTACGTCGTGATCGTTACAAATTCTCCCCTCGTGCTCCTCGGTGTCTTTATTGGCTATCCCTCCAATCACCATGGTTATCTTCTCTACGACTTAGACACTGCCACTACATTTATCTCTCGTGACACCCAATTTCATGAACCCATATTTCTTTTCTCCTCCCCTACTTCAACACCCTCGTCCACCATTGTCATACCCACTAATATTCTTGACCTTTCTCACCCACAGTCAGCCGAACCTCCCTCCCATACCACTACCGAACCTGCTGCCCCACTGGCCTCTCCTCCCGAGATCCGTCACCACCACCTCGCCCCACTCGAAGTCAACGCCCTCCTCCTCACCTTCATGATTACATATGTCCTACCCTTTCACGTACAAATGGCGTGACTTCATCTTCCCTACGGCCTTCTTCAGGTTTGTCATACTCCCTCCATTCCTTCCTTAACTATGAGCGTTTTTCTCATAAACACCGCTCTTTGCTCTCCCATATTACTAACATTGCAGATCCTACCTCATTCACTGAGGCTTCACGCCATGCCCATTGGCAACAAGCAATGAACTCCGAAATCATAGCCTTAGAATCTAATGGCACTTGGTCCCTCACCTCCCTTCTTCTTGGCAAATACCCTATTGGTTGCAAATGGATTTACAAAACAAAATTGAAAGCAAATGGTACTATTGAACGTTACAAAGCTCGCCTTGTGGCCAAGGGTTACACTCAAATTGAGGGATTGGACTATCATGACACCTTTGCTCTTGTCGCCAAACTTGTTACAGTCCGCTGCCTTTTGTCCATCGCTGCGGCTAAAAAATTGGTTCCTATACCAACTTGATGTGCACAATGCTTTTCTTCATGGAGATCTCGACGAAGAAGTCTACATGAAACCTCCTTCTGGATATTGTAAAAGGGGAAAAACTCGCGTCTGTCGACTACACAAATCTATCTATGGCCTTAAACAAGCCTCCCGCAATTGGTTTTCTAAGCTTTCTTCAGTTTTGCAAGCTGCTGATTTCAGTCCATCCATGGCGAACCACTCATTATTCACTCTTTCACGTGGTTCATCTTTTGCAGCACTCCTTGTCTATGTAGATGATATTCTTTTAGCCGGTGATGACGACAACTTACTCATTGATGTCAAGACTTTTCTTTCTAGCAAAGTCAAATTCAAATATCTTGGTCCACTCAAGTATTTTTTGGGAATTGAAGTCGCTCGCTCACCTCGTGGTATTTTTATCAATCATGCAAGTACACCCTGGACATTTTATCTGAAAGTGGTTATCTCGGCTCCAAACCCCTTACCTTGCCCATGTAATAGAATCACAAACTTCAAGTTGATGTAGGTGACCTTTTAACTGATGCTAGCCTTTATCGTCGATTGATCGGCCATTTACTTTATCTCATAGTCACAAGACCTGATATTACATATGCCGTCAACATTTTGAGTCAATTTATGCACTGCCCAAGATAGCCCCATCTTGACGCTGCCATTTGAGTTCTTCGCTTCCTCAAAAACAATCCAGGATAAGGACTCCTATTCACAGCTACCAATGACTTTCAGGTTCGTGCTTATGCTAATTCAGATCGGGCTAGCTGTCACACTAACCATCTCTAGATCTTCTGTTGAAGCCGAATAGCGTGCCATGGCCAACGTCACTTGTGAACTTATGTGGCTTCGTACGTTACTTCTTGATTTGCACATCCCACATCCCCAACCGATGCTCCTATATTGTGACAATCAGGCTGCTATACATATTGCTCGCAATCCTGTCTTCCATGAACGCACAAAGCACATAGACATTGATTGTCACGTTGTTCGTGAACAACTCAAGTCTGGCCTCATCACCACCTCTCATGTTTCTAGCTCAGCTCAACTTGCGGACATCCTCACCAAAGCACTTGGCATTGATCTCTTCACACAGATCATCTTCAAGTTGGGCATTTACAATCCCCATGCTCCGACTTGAGGGGGCGTGTCAAAGATCCTTGTATTTACTGTTAAACAATGAGATATATATTTACCTTCCTTAAGACATCTCATTTGTATAGGAAATTGCACACAATCAAGCTACATACAGGAAACTGCACATAATCAGGATGATTACCTTAGACATAGGAAATAGCAAATAATCAGGCTACATATTTTTCTTTCCATAGAATCTGGCCATTATGCTTGTATAAATACGGTGGCTGTACATTACTGAAGAAATGAATAAAATCAAATTTTCTATCTCTTTACACTAAGTTCTCAGTTGTACCAAAATATCATTTGTACCAAAAGAAGAAAAAAAGAAGTATTTTTTATTTACAGTATGGTGAATTGATGGGACAAGGTGAAATCAATCTGAAATATTGGACGTTTGGTTCTTAGTTGTAATAACAATGTCATGGATTCATGGTTATCAATCATCCTCCTCACTTCCTTTTCAGAGATCTGAAGAATTAATAACTATGCAATGTTTTATGGTTGATGGATGTATATAGCTGGACAGATGCCCTGTAATAGTATCCTCTAACTTCTTGTGGATGATTTGTTTCCGTAGTTCGTTATTAATCACCCTAAGTACTACTATCTACTTAATCAAAGAGAAGGGGAAATAAATTGTTCACGTGATATTTTAAGTTCTGAAACAAGATCTACAATTCCCTAATAGTTTAGTAATTTTAACTGTGGAGAGGCAGACAGCAACTTGAATCCCTGTTGGATCGCTCTCTACAGGAGCTGAGTCTCTATGATATAGGAGCTGTTAGAAATATTATTATTCTAGCTCCAACTCATGTTTCTAGTAGAAAGAACATTTTTTTTTTATTTTAATTAGAATTTATTGGCATTTGGCATTTTCATTTCGGTATCATTAAGGGTGCTTTGACGCAGATTGGTTAGAGCAGCTCATAAGGACGGTGCAAAGATCATTCTTATACAGGTTTATGCTCTTCAAAGTAAATAATTAGCTTCTTAATAGTATTTTGGTATCTACATTCCCTTTTCCTTGGTTTTGACATAGTTTTCTAGGATTTCTATAATTTATTTTTGTATTTTATATCCCCTTAAATTGTTGGAATTTTGGAAGACGTGTTGTCATTTGCAGCAGATATCTATATTGATGTCATCGAAATGTTGTTTTAAGGATTCAATAAATACTCAAGCCTGAAATCTCAAAGAGTAAATAACATTTCTTTTACTGTATGTTTGATGCCAAACCTGATGGCTGCTAAGGTTGTCAAGACTTATAGTTGGCATTTGGAAAATTGAAAGCGCTTTTGTTACTTCTTTTTGATTCTTAGTTTAGTTGGTTACTTGTTTTATAATTTTCATTTTTATTTGTTCATCCAGGAAAGAAAGAAATATTATGCTTATTCATACTTCAAAACATTCCCTTGGGATTCATATCCCAGTAAGGACAGAATTATTATGTTTATCCATACTCCTAAATGCTCCCTAGGGATTTAATTCCATTAATACTTGTTGGTCATTAGAATGGATCTCATTTTTGGCACCCGAGTGTTTGCAATCTAAATTCATATTTCAAATCTCCAAAATGATTCCAGTGTGTGTAGGCAGCTTAGAAATCTTGTTGACTGTTAGAATTCAAACTAATGTTGATGGTTAAATTTTTCCTTATTTTTTAACCTCACATTTCCCATAAATACACTATTCAAAAATGCATCCCCACCCCCCATCCCCAAACACAAGTGAACAATATTTAGGTGAAATTGAATTTCTTTTACCTGAAAGAGGTTAATGATGCAAATCATATATTTTGGTATATTGTCGACTCCTGTCTCATTATATTTTTGGTTGCTCAATCATGCTAATATGGCTTCTGGCTGGTTTGAATATGTGACTGTAGCATCACTGCCCTGATAGTTGGCTTCAAGTGATTGACATTGGCCATCTGTGGTAGCATTTACTTTTGGGTAAAGGGTTGGAAAACAGACTATTTGTGATTTTCTTTGGAAATTAGATTAATAATGGTGAAAAACTAGGTCTTGTTTCTAATAAACTTGGGGTTAGTTGACCCAAATAATTTTTCATTACTCTGTTTGATCAATCGCAACATCTACTGAATGATCCAGTAAAATCATATCCTTAACAACCATATAAGACCATATTAATTAGATTTACTCCTTCCTCCTCTAACTTATTCTACTAAAAATTGCTTGTGGATGATACCTTCTTTTAGGCTATGCAATGCATGTTCAACAACCTGAGTCATCATTTCCTCTATAATTCTTTACAAACAGTAGTCTTGCATAATTTTATTTTTTTTCAGGAATTATTTGAGGGTTATTACTTCTGTCAAGCACAAAGGGAGGATTTCTTTCTGCGAGCTAAACCTTGTAAGGAGCACCCTACAATAATGAGGTGAGAATATTCAAATATTTGGCTTTAAAATGTGGATATTGACTTCAAGTAAACTCAGTCTTTGTTGCTAAACCTGCGGTCACAGGATGCAGAATCTTGCAAAAGAATTGGAAGTAGTAATACCAGTTAGCTTCTTTGAGGAAGCAAACAATGCACATTACAATTCAGTAGCTGTAATTGATGCTGATGGGACTAATCTTGGACTTTATAGGAAGTCCCATATCCCAGATGGGCTAGGTTTGTCAACTGTAAGTCTGCATCTAATATGATATATTCGGTAATCAATTTAAATAATAGCAAATTAAATTTCTCCCAGGATACCAGGAGAAATTTTACTTCAATCCAGGTGACACTGGTTTCAAGGTTTGTGTTGATTATTTTGAAGTCCAGAGATAACATTTTTTAATATATTTTTTTAGTTCGGAGTGTTGATTATGATTTTTTTCAATGGCTTTAATACTGACCGACAGGTATTTCTAACTAAATATGCCAAAATTGGAGTAGGTAAGAGTTTCTTGACTTCTACCTTCTGCTTGTTTGTGTTTCATTATAATCTACTTATAATTTAAAGTCAAACTCAAACATTAATTTTATCTGCACAGTAACAGCTACTGCCGACTTATTATCCACATATTTCGTATGACTAATTACTCTTTTCCATTATAATCACATCATAATTTTTTCCCAAACAAGCACCTTACTAAAGATATTATGGAAAGCCAACTTTCAAAATTTATGTGTACGCAGACTTAGCTTAAACTAGAAAACTGCTGGTCAAAGATGAGTGAAAGTGGGAATATTCTCTCTCTTTCGATCATTCCTACAGGAACATTCAACATGATTCCTGTTTATTCCTTTACCAGGAATTTGCTGGGATCAGTGGTTTCCAGAGGCAGCTCGCGCTATGGTACTCCAGGGTGCAGAAATATTGTTCTACCCCACTGCTATTGGTTCTGAACCTCAGGATGATGGCCTAGATTCTCGAGATCATTGGAGGCGGGTAATGCAGGGGCATGCTGGGGCTAATTTGGTGAGTCCCTAATTTCATTTATGGGTTATTCATCTATAACAAAATTTATAAGGATGAATCATTTATTGAACCATCTCATCTAAAAACTTAAGAGATTAGAGAGGAGACAAGCTTCTTTATTTAAATTATGTCACGTGCACCCTTATGGGTAGACCATATTCATTTGTTCACTGAAGGTCTTAACATGTGCACAATGTTCCTAAATCTGTAGCAACAAGACTCTTGTGATCTTTATGTGTTTTGATGCCATGATAATACACCTATTTTGAAAACTTGAACTTTTAGAGAAGGGGTGTTTTATTTAATCTGTGTCTTCAACTTTTATAGTAGTGAACAGTATCAACCCTACATTGCTTAAATTCTGGTCTCCTTGAATCATAAACCTTTGTTAGTCAGATTCATTAAGAAACTATGCCCCTAATTGGTTTAGCTAAAAATCAGAATTTTATTAGATTTTGATAAAAGTTGATGAAATGTCTGGTTGAAAATTAGATAAAAGTTGTGGGTCTCATGAAATGTGTGTTGAAAATTAGTATTAGAAAATGGAGACCAAACGGAGTCTAGGTCTGTAAAACAATCAATTCGTTTAATATTGTAAAATATTCACTCTGTTGTTTGCTATAATGTTCTTTTTTAAAACTCCCTTTATCTATCATTGTCAAGAACTTTGTCTATCACGTTTAGCCGGATGAGGCAGGTGAACTATCTCTTTCTTTTTTTAGGCCTTGAATTCAGAATAGGCTTATGGACTGGCCTCCATAGGCTTGAATTTTATTGGGGATGCAGATGGAATTGTTTGCTCATCTTTTTTCATATTGTTCAGAATAGGCTTATGGACTGATCTCCATAGGCTTGAATTTTTTGGGGATGCAGATGGAATTGTTTGCTCATCCTTTTTCATATTCGTTAATCAAAAAAAGGTCTATATACTTATTAGTGCAAACTGGTTTGGTGGAAACATTGATAAATGCATTTCCTATCCAGTGGCACTACTACTCATATTTTGGTTAGTTACAATGAGGAATGCACAAAGTAACATATCTTCGTGTTTACATTATACCCCATCTCGTCGGCAATTCATATGGGAACAAAAAGGAAAATCTTTTCCTTAAGCATGTTTTTAGGACTTCTTGTACTGTGGCAAACGTAACCTATTTGTATCCATTTGCATTTTTATGATATGGTCATCTGGATTTAATGCATTCAGGTACCTGTAGTTGCTTCAAACCGAATAGGAAAGGAGATAATTCAGACAGAACATGGCAAAAGTGAGATCACATTCTATGGGAACTCTTTTATAGCGGGTAAGCTTTTTAAGAATTAGCTAGAATTTGCATAGTTGCAAGTACACGTTCGCTAATAAGGACTTTCAAACATGATTCTCTGTTGAACAGGACCCACAGGAGAAATAGTTGCCGTTGCTGATGATAAAGAAGCAGTTCTTGTCGCAGAATTTGATCTTGATAAAATTAAATCCAAGAGATATGGCTGGGGGGTATTTCGTGATCGGCGTCCAGACTTATACAAGGTTCTTTTGACCTTGGATGGCAGCAACATTTCTCTATGATTTATCAATGCTTTCTGGTGGAGATGATCAATAAAAAAATCAAGCATGTTTCTTTGCGTTTCGTTTCTCTGTGGGAAAATTTATCTTTCATTAATTGAATGAAGAACCATATGTTTGAACATCAGTCCGATGAGCCATGTAACAGCGATATGTTCAATGCTTGAAAAACGACGTTAATCATCACGCAGAATCCTGCGTCGCGTACAGTGATACGATACATGATGATGAAAGAAAAAAAGGAATTCTAGATTCTGTTTTCCGCCATAACGATAGAAAAAAGATTGTTCAAATTCTATCGAGTCTGATTCATGGTGATCATTTATCAAAAATGACTTTAGTTATTAAATGATTGAATAATTGGGAGCAATTTACTTACGATACTTAGTTGACATTCATAAAAAGTATGTATTTAATTATGAGTTCAATACGTTCAGTTTAATAGAAAGATGGGTATTTCTTGCTCATTGTCAAACAATTACTTGTTCACAAACTTCGCATGGTCATTTTGAAACTCTTTCAAAGTAGTATAACCATATTAAGTGACTCTTTTTTCGAACCCCTTTTTCAATGTTTGGATTTTGATAGTGATTCTTAAGCCTCTGTTTGAGCTCCCTTTTTCCATTCTTTCCTATTATTTTTCTACTGTATTCATGTTTAACCTAACATTCTTCATTAAAATAATATTATATGCAAATCAAAAAAATTTTCTCTTTTTGTAATCATATATTTTTCATCAATTTATTATTTCATAATACATTGCAAGAAATTAATGGGGCTCAATTAGGGTCTAAATATCCTTTTGTCTTTATGAAGCCATATATTGTTGAAAGTATGACTGCAATCATTTTTCCTTTCGTTATTAATATCTTCTGGATATTCCATTTGATTCCACAATGATTGGATTAAGTTAGAATTTTTATTTTTTTCACAAAAACGGACAAGTGTTGAAAGAAACTTCAGCAAAAAGATCCATATATAGGTTTTGTGACAACCCTTCACAAGGTTTGGGTGAATTCTGCAGCCACTTGGAGGCTCAGTAGCCTCAGATTTTGCAACATTTATTAAATATCATTATAATTTTTGCCCATACGTCCCTGTAGAATCAACATCATGATTATTATTAAGCTTTATGCCTTTCAATTACTCGACCAAATATTGTGACAAGGTGAAACTGTGGTAGGTTGGTAGGGTAACAGTAAATTTGAGAGTTAATCTATGGCGAAACTCTCGCTAAGTTCGAGCTCGTTATTTGGTTTCAGCTTTCCAAACCTCAGGTGCGCAAAGGGGTGGAAAGTTCGTTCGAGTTTCTTACTCTCAAGCTCGACCTTCTTTGGCCTTGGCTCGGACACTCGAGCTATGCATTCTCTTGGCTTGGGCTCAATCCCTCGACATCGGCATTCTTATGGCATAATCAACTTGTTGAGTAATCATTGCTGGTAGAAGTCAAGGCAATTAATAAAGTTAAGGAAAAACCTTGTTGATATCCATTTGTTCCTCTGCTCATATTCATGATTCTAAATAAATCCTTAGAATGTTATTTTGACCATGGAAACTACTCCTAGATCTTCAAGTATTCAAGCAATTTAAAACATCAAGATTCAACAATTGAAGAAGTGGGCTAAAGTAAAAATGGGGAAAGAACTGTTCATGTTCTTCAAAGGACATTTATAATCAATAATCTTTTGCAACCTTTATTTGCATACCATTACGGAAAAAAAGGAAGAAAAAGGCAAAATTATCTTACACATTGCAATGCAAAAAAGGCATATTAAAACTGGAGAATTTTCCTAGCTCTATGTTATGAGCTATCTTAGATGTTGTAGTTGTTGATTGCAACATTCTCTTCTCCATTTTCTCTTCCCTCTTCATTCAGAATGCCCTCGCATTTAGCATCATCATTTTTATCGGTTTCTCCATTGTTTTCCTCGGCGTTATCATCATCTTCATCTTCTTCCTCATCATCTTCAAGAATTTCTTCATCAGAATGAATGAATTGCAACTTCAGACGTCCATTTTCGCGACATGCATGCATGAATTCCTGAGTTGGTATTCTTATCTCTTGAAGAATAAACCGTCCGTCTTCTCTGTATGATTTAAAGCACACCCATGGCTTCCCACTCCTACCTATACAAGAAATGGGAGGAGGAAACGACCCTCTACTTGTTCTTGATCTCTTTGAATATTCACTCCAATGACTTCCTGTTTGAGTATTTCTAGTGAAACTCTTACTCTCCTCCTGATGCTGAAATTCATTACAAATGTCATTCCTCAACAGATCCTCAACATCATCAAAGCTTTCGAATCCAAGCCCTTCGGTGCATAGTGATAAGCTATCAGAATTAACAGACGAAAAGCTATCACTACGCCGGGAGGTTGGATAATAACTTGATGTTGGACTCTTGGCTTTGTCATGATTATTGCTGTTTGGGCTTTCCCTTTTCTCCCTGTTGAGTTTTTCATTATCAGATTGTTGATTCACATCAGGAAAAAACGTTGAATTTGAGGACAAAGATGAGGATGGAGAGGATTGAGGAAGAGGGGAGGATGAAGATGATTCAGAAGCATGTTTTTCTTTAAAATGTAATTCGCCAAATATTTCTGTAAACGACGAATCGTCAACCTTTTTCATGGACTTTACTTGTTTCCATGATGTAAGAGATTCAAGAAGTGTTGGATTTTCTGGCAGTGGCTTCTCAAAGATATGTTCTAGGCTTCCACAGGCTGCCATGGTTGGCCTTTTGAGTTTTTCTTTTTCTCCTAGAAGACAGAAAACGCGTATATATAAGAAAAGACTAATTGTGGTCGTTTGTTGTGGAAGAAATTGATAAGGAGAGAGATGCACGGGAAGGGCATGAAATTGTTGCTGATAAAGTCAAGGGGATGGAACTATTTATTAGGGGTGCCTCTCAGCTGGCAGTGGAATAAGGATGGTTGATTATGAATCTTTCGAATTTGGTGGTCACAATTATAACTTGTAGTTGTCTTTATCTTTCCTCACTAAAATTTGGGTTTCACCATGTGTCGTATATCCTTAAATATCACAAAAGATCCCAACACAACAAGCTAAAGCATATTTTTCTTTATTATTATCCTTAAAAACAAGAAGAAATCAAGTCTTATTTTCGAGAAATCTAGGGTGGGTGGCTACAAAAATTAACGTTCTCAAATTTCTTGCAACTCAGAGGTGCATGTTGTGTTATCTTGATGTGATTGGCAAGATAATATAAACCCTTAACAAGCCCATCTCAAGATATTGCTTTTATTTATTTCTTCTTCATTGTGTTTAAATCAAGAAGGATTTTCAAGCATACAGACTTGCTTTCAAAAAAAAATTGCTGATTTCTGCCTCGAAATTCCGTGTGAATTATAAGTTTGCCCGGCTGATCCTCTATTATTGTTATGTATACATCAAGAAAAGATGGCACCCATATTTCATTTTCTATGATGTATTTTAAAGTAGATATATAACAATAATTGAAGTGGACAGTTCCAAAGTAGGATTACAAAAGCTTCTAACCACGGGGTTGCTTTTGGTTCACTCATATTTCTCTGCATTGGACAGCAAAAAGTTACAAATCTTATCAAGCATTCAATCAAGTCATGTCTAATATTATATATCAAATATACCGCCACTATTAACAATGTTGCAATGCAATTCCATATCTTTGTTGTAGTCCTAGTGCTCGAAAAGGTACATTTGCTACATTTAGCTAATGACAGAAAACGAAGAATGACTTTTTTTTTGTTAACTGATTTGGTTATTAGCCTAGTTATCAGGGTTTCATTTATAGCAACTTTTGTCATCCTTTCTGAGTAAATGGAAGATGACATTTGCACAAGGTAAAAAAAGAAGTAACTGAAAATCACATTATAATATTCAGGAAAGTATATATTTTTAGCACAACAGGTTGAGTAAAAACCAGCCNAAAAACCAGCCAGCAACAGTTAGAAGTAAGAACACATTCGGTGAACAATTTGCATAAATTCAGAATCAAACAGAATACAGAGTTACGTCAGATAATAGTTGATGGAATGGCCACAGACCGATCTTTATCTCCAAGCTTAAATTCGTTCAGTTATTGAATTTATACGGCTCAAATTGCTAATTCCTTTGATCTTGTTATCAGATTCCATAGCCATGCCCACAACTTGTTGCCTGTTAACTTTTCCTTCAGTTTTTGTGGGATTAGAAGCACTTGATTGCCCTGTGTTTGTCCTCTCACAGTTCTCTTCAAGCAGAGTCTGAAGAGCATTCATTACTTTGGCTTCTCCTCCATTGCTGAAATCATAAACTTGGGCAGGAGATACACTTGCATCAGATTCTGCTGTATATGTTGAATAATTGAGATATTCCTCATTGGTGAGGTTATCAACTTGGTTTAAATCAGAAGAAACGTCTGAATTAGGATCCTCTGCAATGAAGGTCTCTTCTCTATCTTCATTTGATTCAACAGGATCATCCAGATAAAGTTGCGAAGAATCCTGATGCCCGTTATCATCAGAAGGTTCCATGTGGGAGATAGGAGCTGTTTCTACAAGGGAATCTTCTCTTTCTCTTAATGTCTTCTCGATAAGAGTTTTAAGGAAGTTCATAACTTGTACTGCATACATCAATGCAGTCAATGGATCTGCCATCTGTGAACAGAACAGGAAAGAATGTTAAGAAGACAGAAGACCTAACAGAAAACTCACTGAGCATTAGTAGGGCATCCTACACTGTTCTAAATAAGAATTGTCTACAATGCATTAGTATAGACTGAAAAACATCATACAGAATGGGAGAACAGACATCTTAAAGTCTTAACATGAACTGACTGTAGAAAACCTGTGTCATGTTCGGTGCAAACACCATTGCAATGTTGCGTGCATTCATCTTGTTCAGATGTTCCTGTTGGACAACATCGACCATTAGGTTGATGGCCCAATCCAACAGAGCAGCCTCTGTAGAGGGTAGAATCCTTACAAGTGCATCACAATCCTCTTCTGACTGGCACTGCATCACCTCCTCAGGCGAAAGAGAATCCAGCACCCCTCTAGGTAGTTCTCTGAACCAAGCCTGCATAGATGAAAATGTAGACCAATGCCAAACGGGCAAAAGAAGGAACAGCACATTGGATTCAAAAATCAACCAAACATAAATATAGTGAAAATAAGGAGAGAACTCGGATTTGTAAAATGAGTTGCACAATATGTGCCATGTGGAACAGTTCTATAGAGTTGGCATTCCAGGATTGACCATTGTGGTATGGAACATACGAATGAATGATAGCTACAGGAACTAAAAAGGGATGTCCCTCTAGCAAGAAATGGATAGTGATTAAAGTTTTAGGGGTTAGATAACTTGAAATCTATCACCCACAAAGTTGCAAGTTCACAACCTAAGATGCTAGATATCGTATCTTGGAACATCACTGCTACCAATCAGACTCTTGGATAATCTAGCATGTTACCTGTATCTGTTGGCATATCTTTATAAAGAATACAAAACCATTTTATGCATCAATCGCCATAAAAAGTGATTGTGTTTCTTGAACGCAGAAATGTATGCATATATCTCAGATAACAGGGAAAGGGAAGCAAAATACCAGAGAACTAGTTTTTCTCACATTTACCCTCTTTACGAAATAAAAATAAAATCTAAAATTCTATAAATTTGAGTTGAATATCATGGCAAATGGAAGGAAATACAATATAACAATCCTCCATACTCATTTTTAAGACAGTTGTTATGTTTATAAACTTTAGTCGGTGTTCTATGATGCATTTACATTCTTCATTTATAGCCATGTTTTGTCCTTTTCCGTGTTTATAAATCCATGCAACTAGAAACTTGACTCAGAAAGATTTTCCATTTTAAGAAGTTTTCAAGAAAAATAGATTGAATGCAGCATTTCTCCCATGGGAACTGCTAACTGAAGACTATATTAACCTCTTCTAGGAACACAAGCATACATACATTTTTAAAGTATTTTATGACGGTGACAGTCATTAGCTAAGAGATATCATATAACGTAGTAATCAATTCATTACTAACAATTAATCCTCTACATTTGTATCGCACGGCTGCCTAACTATTTTCTACTCATCTTTCTCTGTCAACAGAGATTGATGACTCGAAAGTGCAAAATGTTGCTCTAGCATTTTCCACGCTTTGTTTGGTTATGTTCCAGTATCTTCACTGTTTTTGAGATGATAGTTTTTGTTTATTTCGCTAAATAAGTAATAGTAGAGATGGTACAATCAAATGCTAATATGAAAGTTATGACTGGAAAACACAAAATTGTAGCTCAAAATACAAGATAAATACAAATATCAACCATGCTGAATTGCGAAATGCAGTCACATTTCACACAAAACATTTTGGCACAACTGTCTACATCTACACAAATTAAGTGTGGAATGGTCCTTTTCATCAAATACAGACGAAAACAATGTAATCATTTTTCTCCTCCAGATTAATTCTAAACTAAGCATCAGATAGCCGATCCAGTTATCAGCAAATTCAACAAAAAAGAAATAATCAGATTTTTAGATGGCATTTAATCCTGTTTCCAATTGAAGGAATAAATTAATGTAGAAGCATCCAAACTGAAAATCTTGTGAACTTTTACCTTGATCAGGCCTGCTAAACAGTGCACATCAATGCCTTCTGAAACCACTCCACTGTTTAATTGGTCCCTCACATACTCTTCCTGACTATTTCCTGCAGTGATTCTGAAGATCCCTTCTGCCTGCACATATATATTCAATGGTTGGCCAAGTCTAGACAGCTAGCTGATTCTAGATTATGAAAAGGAACGTCCACAAAATTAATATTTTTGCAATACTGCCTTTTTTTGTGTATAGAACATTACTAGATGAATAAATAAATTTGTCCACCCACTAAAGCTTAATGAAGTTGGTTCAAAATTCATTAATCTGCATATGGAGCCTATACTAGATATTTGATTATGTTGAAGACATAATTTAAATAAACAAGTTAATCCCCTCCCTAAAAGCTAAAAGCTTAAGCTTTTAGAGGAGGTGGTCCAACATGGTAATCCTTAATTCAAACCTAGCAGCCACCCATTCATGTAAAAATCTTTACGTGGCCTTCGATGAAAAAATGAATCTGGTGTGCAAGTACATGAGGGGACATGTTGAAGACATTGTAAATATATAAATCCGTCCTCTCTTGAAAGTGCTAAAATTTTAGATGAAACAATTCAACAAATATTATAATAGATAACCATTAAGAAAAAGAATGATGCACCTGCAGGCCTCCTTGAGCATACAAACGTCTTTGCAACAACAGAAGAATGGTTGGAACACTATTGCCTCTAGGATCATATGATAGCTGCATCGATTCTGTAGAAACTCCAAAAACAGTGGCACTGGGATGAATTCCCATACCGAAGGAGAGGGTGAGGAAGCAGGCATGCTATTTTACAGTTTGACAATCAAAAAGGATTCATCATGAGCTACGATATAGTACAGAATTATGTAAAAGAAATGCTAAAATCTAGTTCCAACAAACCAACAATATATGTCACTGCATAATCTACTATAACTTTTCGATTAAATATTATGAAGCAAAGTTGTGAGTTTATTGTGTGGATGCCAGCTGAAAGGAAACGCCCAAAATTAAGGGGTCCAAATCCTGTCTTAAAATACCTGGAGAATGCATCGTGGAAATGTTTTAGACATGAAAATCTCATATAACAAAAAAAAAAAAAAAATGCCCATTAAGACAAGTGTCTGTGTTAGCATTTGGCGATGATAAAAATGAATCATTATCTACTACGGTTTATAAAATCTAACTCAAGAAAACCTGAGCTCAATATTTTGATCCTATGGTCATTTGGGAGACATACTAGTTTTGGTTCAGAGAGAAGTAAAGGATTTATAACCAATTTAAACTAATTTTCAGAAAATCTATCTGACATCAAGATTAGACCCCTACTTATTGTTTTTTAGTTCATAATTTCCCATAAGATGCTTCAGAAAAGTATATTGAGGTTTAAAAAAAAAAAAAAGATCGTCACTAAATTATGTCATAATGCAATAATTTTTTGATGGAAAAATTAACATTTTCTCAAATAGGCAAACCACAGGTCAACCAATCTTATGGCAAAAGCTTCAACACAGAATTAAAGGAAACAAATCCAATGAAACCAAAGACTGGAGTATCAGATATAGATGCCTTAAACAACACAACATGAAACCAAAATTTCAGTCCAGAGATCAGTCGACAGAAGCCAAATCTTGAAATTTCAACAAGTATAGTTTCCATGTTTAGTTTAGACATCTAACAATCTAAATCATGTAAGTCCCAATTAATGAACTGCATCTAACGAGCTGTAAACAATTATAATAGATAGCTGTATAATCTAATGGTCAGAAAGCAAACTCAACTGCACTGTCCAATTTACAATTTGATGTATACCCAATCAGTTTCAATGATTATAAAGGCCAGGAACCAACAAGATTGACATTCAAACAACAATATATGCCAAATTGGTCATGAAATCCGTCAAAATTAAGTAAACCACAAACGGAAGAAAAGAGTTTAACAAAAAATTCCAAATAAAAACTGGTTCCTAAGATTCCTGTAAATAAGATTGTCTGAAGATCTTCACTGACAAATTAAACAAAACCCACATAACAAGGTGCACAAATATCATAGATTCAGCAATAGAGCAATCCAGTAAACACCAGAATCACAATAATTATAATAAATCATCAAGATTACACATACATTATGAATCAAGAACCTAGATGCAATAATATCATAGAGGTTTCCACAACCAAGAAATGGAAAACTTGTTAAGAATCCAGACATGACTTTATAAACCCCAATTATAGAATTCAGGAAAGAAGAATGCACCTTGCACTGGGGGCCCTCCTGGGTACTTCAGGCTCAAACTCCACAGGCAAGCCCAAGAACCCATCAAATCGATCAAAGGTAACATGATTAACATGCTGCACATCAGTGGGCCATCCAATCTCCATAACACCTCGACCACAATTGGCGCTGCCGGCACCAGAAAACTCTTCTCTATCTGTCTTGCAAGCCAACCAAAAACTCTTTCGAAAGAGAGTCACCAAAAGTGCCAAAAGAGACAGTTGATACCTCCTGTCCTTCTCCCTCTTCTCCTTCACACTAATTTCCTCCTCCTCTTCTATGTCACCGGCCGTCACATCAGAAACCCCCTCGTCATCCGCATACGACTGAGTCTGATGAAACAATCTGGCATTGTGGGTAGGTGTGGATATTGAGGGAGAAGAAGAGGAAGATGAGTGGAGCACCTCTGTCATCCTTCCAAGTGTTGAACGAATCAATAAATGGGATATTTTCAATATTATCTGTTCCAAGATTTTTTTTTATTCAAGAAAATATATGGGTTCTTTATGTTTTCTTAAAATAAAGAAATCTTGAGTTGAGATTTGGCAAAGTATTAAAGAAACAGACAAACTCTCGGCTGGAAATGAGGGTTTGGTTTGGAGGGAAATATTCAATTTAGTGGAGTTGGATTGAAGGAATGGTAAAGATAACACGACGTGAGAATCAGAAAGAATTCATTTATTTTAAAAAATTGAATTGCCTTTTCTTTTTCCTTTTTTTTTTTTCCCTTGTCGGCCTGTGCGAATTGTTCTTGAATGGAGTCAGTAAAGCGTTGAATAATCAATGAAAAAGAACAAAGAGAATGTCATAGAGAGGGACTGAGAAGTATTATACGTCAGTAAAGGTTCGGATTATAATTGATATTCCTATTGGTTTGTGGTGCTTCAGGTTGCCACTTTCTTGTTCTTGATGATGAGATTTCTTTTACTTTTTCTCTTAAATTTTTTATCTCAATCAGACAGCTTTAGGATTTTATTTGTTTATTTAGTGGGTTAGATGGCTTTTATTATCCCAATGATAAGTTATTTAGTGCCCCTTTTGGTGCACATTATTTGGGAAAATAATACATTTTTTCCATCAAATCAGTCTACAATATTTGATTTCAACACTCTAAGGTGGGACCCATGATGTGATGTTTAAAATGCATTTTTGTTGGAAAAATGTGGAACAAACGGTTCTTGATTGATTTAACCCGGGTATATTTTCAAAAGCCTGTCCATTTTTAAAGAAAATATTCTATCATTTGAAAAGCATTTATATATATAGATAGTTAAAATTTTGAAATATTTCAACGAGTTTTTTATATTTAACATTTAATTTTATTATTTCCAAAAAATATTTATTATTTTTCTTTATCTTTGATTTTAAATGAAATTAATACAAAACGTTTCTATCTTTTAATATTATTGTGCAAATTATCCCTATCTTTCATTTTTTGACATTATTCATTTCTATTTTCACCTTTCGTTGCGAAAAAAGTCATTTCACCAATTTTTGACTTAAAATAACTAATATACCCTGCTATTTAAATTAAAAAAAAAAGATAAATAACAAATTGCAATCTTACTTCTAAATTTTTCAAAATATTACAAATAATTCCACCAAAAATAACTTCACCTTCATAGAGCTACTGGCCTCCATCTCACGAACCACCATCCAATAGCTGCCTAAAGTATCGGAGCTTACACCACACACAACTACCATAAAAAACCATCCTTATTGTACTTTTCATTTTATTTACATGCCTTTCAATTATGACGTTAAAAACTTAAAATTTGCATTTAAGATTAAAAGTTACCGTTGAACGTATCTAAGTAGTTTTTTGAATTATTTTGTTTGGTTATAAGAGGTTTTAAAGAAAATTGCTCAAATATAGTTTTCTCGAAAAAATCTTCTACAAAAAGAAAAAATAAAAGTAGAAGCTCTATCAAATGTTTTTGCTTAACTTAAAAAATAAAGGAGACATACGGCACAAGATGATTTTGCAATTGAAAATTATCCTTATTTCGAATAGTTTTACTATTCAATTACAAGAAAATACTACATTTGCCTCCGTGTGACCCTCATTGATTTTCATTTCATTACATTTCATTTTTCTCTCTTCTAATTTCAACCACATAATTTTTCATAAAATAATATTACACATAAATCGAGAACATTTCCTTCTTTTTTAACCATTCATTTTTCAAAAAAAATACTACTCATTTTCATTTCTACAAAATGGGGATCAAACGGTAAGTCATTGACAAGAATAGATAAAATTCGTCACTTGTCTTTTGTCAATATGTAATTTGGTATACCAAACAGATGAAAATTCAAATCGAAATTATAAGTAGTATCATTTCAACGCTCTCGAGTTGACGCTATTTAGAATTCCATGTTCGTAGGTAATATTTTTCAAGATGGACAGGTTACTTTTAACAATTTCAATAATATTAGGCCCAAATGTTTGGTGTTAAACCTAGACATAGGGTATCACAACCTATAAGAGGGGAGTTTTATGTACAATATTTCAAGTCGTACCAATTTCCCTTAAATAATAATATTGCAAATTTTACAATACTTGAAATTAAAATTTTGATATGACCGAATTTAGGTGCATCATCTTCGATTATATTCTAGGCCTAAAATTTTCCAATTATTAATATTATTATAGTCTAGGCACAATAATAATAATAATAATAATAATAATAATAATTGGAAAATTTTATTAATATTATTATTAATAATTATTAATTATTAATATTAATAATTATTAATATTATTATTATTATTATTATTATTATATAGTGCATTTTCAAGCAATTTTTATATAACCAAGGTACTTTTCTAATTCTGTCACAAAAAGTAGGGATACATCCAAAAAAATAAAAAAAAAAAAAAGAAAAAAAAAAAGGAAATTCAATTTTTTAAAATAAATGAATTCTTTCTGATTCTCACGTCGTGTTATCTTTACCAAAATGACGTCATTTTGGTAAAGATAACACGACGTGAGAATCAGAAAGAATTCATTTATTTTAAAAAATTGAATTTCCTTTTTTTTTTTCTTTTTTTTTTTTTTATTTTTTTGGATGTATCCCTACTTTTTGTGACAGAATTAGAAAAGTACCTTGGTTATATAAAAATTGCTTGAAAATGCACTATATAATAATAATAATATTATTAATAATTATTAATATTAATAATTATTAATATTAATAATTATTAATATTAATAATTATTAATATTAATAATTATTAATATTAATAATTATTAATATTAATAATTATTAATATTAATAATTATTAATATTAATAATTATTAATATTAATAATTATTAATATTAATAATTATTAATATTAATAATTATTAATATTAATAATTATTAATATTAATAATTATTAATATTAATAATTATTAATATTAATAATTATTAATATTAATAATTATTAATATTAATAATTATTAATATTAATAATTATTAATATTAATAATTATTAATATTAATAATTATTAATATTAATAATTATTAATATTAATAATTATTAATATTAATAATTATTAATATTAATAATTATTAATATTAATAATTATTAATATTAATAATTATTAATATTAATAATTATTAATATTAATAATTATTAATATTAATAATTATTAATATTAATAATTATTAATATTAATAATTATTAATATTAATAATTATTAATATTAATAATTATTAATATTAATAATTATTAATATTAATAATTATTAATATTAATAATTATTAATATTAATAATTATTAATATTAATAATTATTAATATTAATAATTATTAATATTAATAATTATTAATATTAATAATTATTAATATTAATAATTATTAATATTAATAATTATTAATATTAATAATTATTAATATTAATAATTATTAATATTAATAATTATTAATATTAATAATTATTAATATTAATAATTATTAATATTAATAATTATTAATATTAATAATTATTAATATTAATAATTATTAATATTAATAATTATTAATATTAATAATTATTAATATTAATAATTATTAATATTAATAATTATTAATATTAATAATTATTAATATTAATAATTATTAATATTAATAATTATTAATATTAATAATTATTAATATTAATAATTATTAATATTAATAATTATTAATATTAATAATTATTAATATTAATAATTATTAATATTAATAATTATTAATATTAATAATTATTAATATTAATAATTATTAATATTAATAATTATTAATATTAATAATTATTAATATTAATAATTATTAATATTAATAATTATTAATATTAATAATTATTAATATTAATAATTATTAATATTAATAATTATTAATATTAATAATTATTAATATTAATAATTATTAATATTAATAATTATTAATATTAATAATTATTAATATTAATAATTATTAATATTAATAATTATTAATATTAATAATTATTAATATTAATAATTATTAATATTAATAATTATTAATATTAATAATTATTAATATTAATAATTATTAATATTAATAATTATTAATATTAATAATTATTAATATTAATAATTATTAATATTAATAATTATTAATATTAATAATTATTAATATTAATAATTATTAATATTAATAATTATTAATATTAATAATTATTAATATTAATAATTATTAATATTAATAATTATTAATATTAATAATTATTAATATTAATAATTATTAATATTAATAATTATTAATATTAATAATTATTAATATTAATAATTATTAATATTAATAATTATTAATATTAATAATTATTAATATTAATAATTATTAATATTAATAATTATTAATATTAATAATTATTAATATTAATAATTATTAATATTAATAATTATTAATATTAATAATTATTAATATTAATAATTATTAATATTAATAATTATTAATATTAATAATTATTAATATTAATAATTATTAATATTAATAATTATTAATATTAATAATTATTAATATTAATAATTATTAATATTAATAATTATTAATATTAATAATTATTAATATTAATAATTATTAATATTAATAATTATTAATATTAATAATTATTAATATTAATAATTATTAATATTAATAATTATTAATATTAATAATTATTAATATTAATAATTATTAATATTAATAATTATTAATATTAATAATTATTAATATTAATAATTATTAATATTAATAATTATTAATATTAATAATTATTAATATTAATAATTATTAATATTAATAATTATTAATATTAATAATTATTAATATTAATAATTATTAATATTAATAATTATTAATATTAATAATTATTAATATTAATAATTATTAATATTAATAATTATTAATATTAATAATTATTAATATTAATAATTATTAATATTAATAATTATTAATATTAATAATTATTAATATTAATAATTATTAATATTAATAATTATTAATATTAATAATTATTAATATTAATAATTATTAATATTATTATTATTATATAGTGCATTTTCAAGCAATTTTTATATAACCAAGGTACTTTTCTAATTCTGTCACAAAAAGTAGGGATACATCCAAAAAAATAAAAAAAACCATTGCTCGTAAAATACGAGAAATACTTCCATGGGGCGGTCGCACCATGTGGAGCTGCGATCGCCCTATAATGCAGCGCCATCTCGTAAGGGTGGCTCATCACCTCCGGCCACCCCGACGAGGTGGCAGTGGATGATTCGACCGCCCATGGAAGTATTTCTTAAAATATACCGATGATTCATGATAGG